TGCACTAACTTCTCATGAGGTTTAAAAAGAAGGCAAATGCCCCCTAAGTATTGTTTAATATTAAAAGTGTGTGAAAATTGTCTTGAAAATATATTAATATATTAAAAAATGTATTGATTTCAATAAAAGTGCATTGAATTTAATAAAAAGAGTCTTGCATTTTTTTTTGTGTCTCTTTTACTCACGTCATAGAGACATTTGTTAACAAAATCCTAAAATAAATACAATAAATTTCATAGTTGTAACACATTTACATTGATGGAGTTTTTCTTAAGGTGTTAATTAACATAACCCTTAGTCCTATTTTCGTCAATACTCCGTTACCTATGTTTGAAAAATGACATTATTTCTTTCACATTATATTTTTTTCCCTTATTTATTCTATGTGTTCACATTATTTATATTAGTTTTGGTCCTACTAAAACAAATGTCAGTATAATAATATTAAAACTGTAAGATTTATATTTTTTTCAAATAGTTTAATGTAATTCATCTAAATAAAATTTAATTTTTTTGAAAATTTTCAACTTTTTAATTTTCAAATGATAATAAGGTGATAGGACCCTTTTTTTTTTTTTTATAAATAAACTAGCATATTACCCGTGCTATGCATGGATTGTGTTTACAATTATCTATATATGTGAATTGTGATTTTTAATTTTTTTTTAAATGTCTTCTTTTTTTCTTTTTTTATATTATATTAAAATTTAATATTTTAATATTAATCATATGTGTTGAACTTTTCAAAGAATTAAATGTCTTTTTTTTATTATATTATATTTAAAGTTTAAAATTTTGATAATAATCATATGTGTTGGACTTTTCAAGAAATTTTTTTATGCTTGTTCTTAATGCATTAAAGTGTTATTATGAGGGATAATAATCATATGTGTTGGGACTTTTCAAGGAATTCAGGATTTTAAATAATTATTTTTATGTTTGTTGTTAATGCATTAAAGTGTTATTATGATAGTAAGACTTAGGAGTTGGGAGAAGTTAATAAATGCTAAGATTTTTTTAAAAAAAATTAAAAAATTAAGAAATTTAGATTAAGAGATTAGAGCTCCTACAAAATTTGGAGTTAAAATATATAGTATAAATTTTATCAAACATAAATAAGCTCGCTTTTAAACTTGAGGCCTCGTTTGGGAACAAGTTAATTTAGTAACTTTTTGACTATTTGGCTAAAAAGATAGGTAAAAAAAACTTATATGTTTGGGATGACTTTTTAGCTAATTACGAAAAGATGTGCAAAAAGTAGAGAGAAAAGAGAATCTTTGACTTTTTTGTATAAATTGTTGACTTTTTGACTAATTGACTAAAAAAGTAAGTCCCGAAACGGGGAGTCTTGCTAATGACTATATAGTACTAAAATATTTACAATTTTGATATATATTTAGAAAAATGCATGGGATTCTTTCTTTAGGACTCCACAAGCCTTTTAAATCTCAATTATTGATATACGTGTGAAATCTACTCATATATACGTAGAGTTTATATCATCAATAATTGAGATTCAAAATGGAGTCTTCCAAAAAAAGAGTTTCAATCATTATTGTTATCACAAAATATTTTATGTATTTTTTTTAAATTTTTTTTTACAATTTTAATCAGCTTGTTTGGTTTCGTTTTTCTGAAAACAGTTTTCAGATAATTCTACTTTCTTATTATCCATATTTTTTTTATTTTTAATGATTTTTTTAATATTTTAAACAATTTTTTTTTTAATTTTTAGATATACCTAACATAAATATACCTAAAAAGTAAAAAATTTGTGCAAAAAATCTTTTAAAAATTCACTAAATACCAAAAATACAAAAAAAATA